AAAGATTCAGAAACAAAAACCGATAACGCTGAAGATAATGAGCTGTGGTGATTTATATGACTATATAATATTATTTATTTATACTAACATAAACACAACGTGGGGTGACCCAAATCCAAACGATCACTAACCAAAATAATAGACTTATATTTTTTTCAGCAGGTGTATTTTCGTATAGTTCTGTTTCTCTCTTTTCAGCAAAACAACAGCAAAAAAAACCTCTATAACTCTTCTCCATTCTTTTAATCTCCTACTATCCCCTATAAATGTATCGGAAACTAGTGGGACTGTCTGTGCAAACAGAAACAGGCCTGCTAGTGGAAGAAGTTCGTTATGCTATACGGTCTAGCATAGGCCTACGGCCGGGTTTCAGTAGGTACACACTCGCTTAACGGCAGATTGGTTTACAGTGGTCGACCAGGGTGTGTAAATTACAAAATTACAATTACAACATTATTTCATATATCAGCTTGACGTACGTTGATCGATATTACATTTTTCTTTTTTTTTTTTGCTGTGCACTACACCACCGGAGCCAGCAAAGTTCAACAATCCATCGTTGCTTATGCCTTTGTTGTCGTTTGGAACCAGTTTTGCGAGGTAGGCGACAATTGTGCGTATTTCTCGTGTAACTTTTGAAAAGGGCCTATTTATAGCCTGAACAATACGTAAAGAGCAAATTGAAACATTGAACGTCGCGTGAAAGTGGAACTTAATGAAGGCCTAAGTACTTTTTCGTAGTTTTTTGTTTTCGGATTTGAAAGATCGTCGGTTACAGTGGCCTGCTTACTGAGCAGAAAAACGCGGTCCCAGGTCCTTACATATCAAAGAGATTTATGGTAAAATCGCTTGTGTATCGTGTATTTTGCGAAACTCGTTGTTGTCGTTGGTTCCGGGTTTGAATGGATACAAAAATTTGAGCAACGGTATTATGTGATATGAGGAGCTTGGTGGCCTTAGAGCAACCGTTTTTGCTTACTGAGCAGAACATTATGAGTCTAATCTCAGGCCCATCCACATTCAAGATTCGTCAATCGTTTTATTTGTTAATATGACTACATGGTAATAACAGCAAGTCGGTCATTAAAAAGGTGCTCGTCTGCCTAGTGGCAAACGTTTTTGCTTACTGAGCAGAAGACCGTGGGTTTAGTCCCAAGCTCCTTCGCGTTATATGATCGTTGGGACATCAATTCAGCTTATCGTTTACCAAAACGAACCCTGCTGCAAACCCAACGCTCTTATCCAACATCCCAGTGATTCCTCGTGGAAGTGCAGAGGTGTTCTCGGCTTCCATCAAAGCGAGTGTCATGTCAACACAATCCTTCCCATTCCTTTCTTGACCTGTGTTAGGGCGCGGCCGGCGCTGGTATTGCCTAGTTTGAGATCACCAGTTTTTACACATTGAGGATGATTGCTAGTCCCAAGCATCGTCTATTGCTTCTCTGTGTAATTACAGCTGGTCTGGAAATAACAGAGTAGCAACCGTGGGTGGTCAATCATGCTCATGCTCATGCTCATGCTAAATTGAAAAAAAAAATGTGAATCATAGTCACAGTCGTAATCACAATCACAATAATTACACAAACTAGCACAATATCAACTACAGAATGGATCATCATCAGACAGAAAAAAAACCACCGGACAGAATGAAAACAACCGTCTTCCTCATGATAGAGACCTTCTTGCGGCAGCGAAAGATCGGTTTTCAAGGCCACCGAATAATTACCAACCAACGATCAAATTTCAAATGGGTGAAATATTAAACCCCTACCCGGCGAGTGATGTTTTCCCGCGCACACCCGCCAAACAGGTTGGGTCCAGAACGTTCAGCTGCATCGTGCGAGGCGTGTTCTTGCAAGCATTCGGGTTTTCTACGGAGTTAATGCACCACTTGGAGGAAGACAACGTTATCGTACTTTTCAGTACTCGCGCCGTTGTACAAAGTACAAGACGGAAAAAAATAATTAAAACCTACTGACTTTAAAACTCACTCAAACGCGAGGGGGACGACTCTATCTCCGATGCAGAAAAGATTGTGTTTTGTTGTGGCTAGCTGCACGCACGCTGAGTAGATAGAAGGAAGATTTATGTCGATTTTGAAGATTTCCTGCAAAAAGATGAAGCACGATGCAAGTAGATGCGAGAAATTAAAGATGATTTTTCGAAGATTGATTCGCTAGTGTGAGATTTTTTGAGCATCTAGAATTGAGATTTAGATGTGTCGCCCCCTCGCTCAAACGTGACACTAAACATGTTCCATGTAATTTAATACTTGGTAGAATATTTTGGACAATACACTCCGTGTCATAACTATAGAGCCAGTAATTTTTTATGAGATTCCAGAGATGTAGGAGAGCTTGTTCAAAATTAGGTTCATAGAAGGAGAGATTAGTACTACCTATATTTACTGGAGTATGTTCATACATCAAATTATTTTGGTAAGGTGTGTAATAGCAGAAACAAAAATTAATCTGTGTTTCATAACTATAGAGCCAGATAAAAGTTTATTTTTCTCTGTAAGTTTAACATCGATTTAGCATGAATTAGAGTATTTTAATAGTGCGTAGGTCCTTTGTTCTCAACCAGTTCAAACAACGTATTCGGCATGCTTTCAACCAAGCTGCGGCACGTAGATTCATGAATTTCGTTCCGCGCTGTAAAGACTGCGCGTTTGAGCTCTTCAACATTTCTGTACTGCTTGTTGTCTGCATATACTTTTCGTACAATCAATCCCCACATATTCTCGATTGGATTCTGATCTGGAGAACAAGCTGGCCATTTAATAATCGAAATGCCATGGTTATCGAACCACGCTTGGTCGCTTGGCTTTTGTGAACTAAAGCGTTATCTTGTTGGAATGTCCAGTCAACTTGATGGTTTTGTTGTAAGAATGGTAGCAATGGATGTACTCCTGACTGTTCATTCGTGTTGAAGGAAAAGCAACCTTCACCAATCCACTCTCACAAATGCTCCCCAAACCATCAAACTACCACCACCAAAGTTGCGAGTGGAATCGTTGATCTTTCAGTAAATCCCTCCAGTAAGAAAAAATACCATCTGGTCCATCCAGATTACATTTCTTCGGGTCAGAAAAGATCACCTGAAGGAATAAACTGAATTGACAAACTGTTGCTGCTTGCGAATGTTGCTTGCTTCAGTTTTTGTCGCTGTATGTGAGAAGAGCCTTTCAATGCTCGGTAGACTGTCGAACGCGAAACATCCAGTGATAGTTCTGCTTTTATCTGATTCAAGCTCTTTAGTGAGTTGCTTGCAGCTTGAATTATTCTGCGTTGCATCCTTTCAGAAAGCTTTTTCTTAGGTCCTTCTTTTTTATGTCCACCATTTCCTTCAGGATCTCTCAAAAAATTGATGATAACGTGATGTGATCTGCTTAAACGGCGCGCAATTTCACGAATATCATAATTTTTCCGACAAATACGTTCCACGCGGCATTCAAGAGCTTACACAAACGCGTCACATCACTGGTGAAAGAAAACTGGACTGCAACTGAAGCGAATGACTTTACTTGAATTGGTTCTATAGTTGTGAAACAGCAAAGTTCACACATTTGTCTTTTTTTCTATTCACAAATAATGTTTATAGATACATACACACTTATTTTTTTTATTGCTACCGAGCTCGGCTGTGCAAATCTCGGTAATAAAAGTTTTACTGAGATCTCAGCAAACAAATGAAATGTTTCAGCTAAACATTATCCGAGAGTCAGCAATTAAATCCGGAGAACTTTGAGATTTGGGCGTAATTGCTTTTGTAAACAAACATGTCAATCGCCGATTTCTCGTGAATAAAGTAGCAATCTCGCGAACAAACTATACCAAATGATAGAGGAATCATTCCTCTACCTGTTAGTGTTGTTAATTTTTGAGATTGTGTTTTAATTCGCGAGAAATCGGAAAATGACGTGTTTGTTTACAAAAGCAATTACGCCCTAATCTCGAAGTTCTTCGAAAATGTCACTTTTGCTGAGATCTCAGTGAATTTTTTTGTGCCGAGATTTGCACAGCCGAGCTCGGTAGAAAAAAACTAAGTATGTATGTATTGAGGTGTACGTTAACTCTCTCAAGGCCGGCGCACAATAGATACGTTTTCGGGTTTTTTGACAGATAATGCATGGGCTAGCTGTCAAAAAACCTGAAAACGTATCTATTGTGCGCAAGCCTTCACACGGTCATCATGTGCTTATGAATGACGTAAACAAATACACTATCAAAGAAATGTGCCCATTTTTTCAGTGGATCTATTGTTATGAAACGGAGTGTATCAAGTTTCAAGAAGTGCCTTGTAGGCGAAAATAATATGCAGTTGTATTTTGTACAACGCGCGAGTGCTCTTGTTACAAAAGTTGGCGCGAGTACTGAAAGGTTAAAGGGATAATCTGGGAAATGACTAGAACAGTGTTGCACAATATACGAGTCACGACCTACCGGTGGGTTTTTATGACCATTTTGACGTTTCAAGATTATTATAAGAGTTGTCAGGTGGTTTTAATGATTTTTGGGACATTTTGGATTTTTTTTTTAGTTTTTTGAATCGATACTTGATGGCAAGAACATATGTTGCGAAAATGATGAAGAAAATCCATTGTTTTCCATTGCATTGTTAGTACTGCCATTATTACATTTTTGTTTTAAGAAACGTATACAAAGTAAGATAGAAATCCACTCTTACATTTGATGTTCATGTTGAGAATCATGCAAGCAAAAGAGACCTTCCTTAAAAATAATGCAAAAGGGTTGAAATATACTTTTATGTTTTAGTTTAACTCCTTATTTCAAGTTTTATTTTTTTAATTTATTTTTTATTGCCCTCCCTTCGTTAGATTCGAATGTTGTGTGACAAAAGTAAAAGTATTCATTTGTTCCGGTCTAAATATAAATTTTAATTTCCGCACCAATCCAGAAATTGTCCTTTCCAGGAAATTATGTTCCAGGGAATGTCATATACAATCTTTTTTTAACCATAATGTCTATCATTCTCAGAAAAAGCTGATTAGCGATGCCAAGCAAGCGAAACTGAAGAAAAGTGAAATATTCATTGATAAATTGTCGGCTTTCCATGTGATCGAACGGTGCATGAGCGGTCCAGCGAATCGCACTCGTTTGACTATCACTCGCCTAGCGATATCAATCAGCGACCCTCGGCAATCGCTTGCGCCGGAAAGTTACGAAAAGATTCGCATTCTGCTAGATCAACTGGAAACTCTGTCCAATCTACAAGCCAAACTAAGCCAACTAAGTGACACACAGTTCCTCTACTGGCATCAAACATTCTTTGCACTATACATATTGGATTTCTACGACCAAAATGCTGCTCAGAACAACCTGAAGTTTTTGCTTCAATCCGCATCGACTTGTTGCGATACCGTGTCTCAGGTTTCATCCGCTGGTAGCATGAAAGATTCGGTTGATGCGCTATCTAAAAGCCACAGAAAATCATTTCACGAAAAACTGCTAAATCAAATAAGCAATCACATCGAAACTTACATTCGCCTGGACTATTATGGGAAGACATCGCAAATTGAACCCTTCAATCCGTTTAATGATACCACAATGGCACTGTGTAACATCTACTCCTTGGTACGGATGGAGCCCATCATCGTCGGAGGTCAGTACCTTTGCGTTAAAGAACACGTTGAGCGTTATCTGAGCAATACTTACTACACGCTGGCGTCAATTTCCCAGCACGACTGGAAAATTTATAAGGAAATGCGTTGCCATGCGGCCAGCTTCGAGATTGACACCATCGAGGATCAGCTACCGAAGCAAACACTGGAGCAAGGGCTGGATGTGTTAGAAATTATGCATAACATCGAACACTTTGTTAGCCACTACGTGTACAATTTGAATTTCCAGATCTTCATCGAACAGTCTAGTAGTAATAATTTCCTGAATACGGTCAATATCGGACACATTGCAAACTCGTTGAGAAGGCACGGAAACGGGATCATCAATACTACGGTAAGTTGGTCATTTGGTTGGTGTTTGTTGCTCCTAAGTGTTAGAATTTTTTTTATCCTGATGACCTTTTTTATCCCCTCCAAACTTCGTTTAGTAGGACTCGGCATAAGTCCTTTTTTCAGATACTTCTTATTTTTTTTTTCGAGAAAATCAATCAAGAATCCATATAAAAGATGCTCTAAAAAAACCGAACGTTGAAGGTTATGGTTTATTCTATGCTATTCTCTGCCCACTGCTTAGCCATTCTCTACCCTATATATCCTCTGTAATCAGATCCTCAAATTCCCCCAACTTTTCTTATATAAGATCACGAATCTAATTATTATTTTTTATATAGGTAAACTACACATTCCAATTTCTTCGCCAAAAGTTCTTTGCCTTTTCGCACTTCCTGTACGATGAGCAAATTAAGGCTCGTCTAACTAGTGATGCCAAATATTTCCTGGAAAACGCCGAAGCGCTCAATCAAACGTACGACTACAATCGAGCACATGCGTTCAATCGGAAGATCAAAAACCTAGGCCTATCGGAGGCCGGCGAAACCTACATGGATTTGTTTAGAAAGTTGATCTGTCACATAGGTAAGTGTTGCAATGTTCAAGCTTTGTTGCAGCGTACTTATCAGTCATTTATTTTATTCCACAAAGGCAACGCAATGGGCTATGTTAGAATGATACGTTCCGGTGCTCTGCATGAATGTACAGAGGCTACCGTTTTTCTGCCGGTTATTGACGGGGATCTCAATTTTACCAAATATTGCAAGGAAGAATCACTGCATGATATGACTGCTGTGGCTGCGGAGATCTTAGAAAATGATATCAATAACTTGTGCAAAAATTACCGCATTGATACCAATTATTTCCGATTATTAGTCAATGCATTTTTATCGTTACGCCATGCGGAGAATATTCATTTGCAGAATTTCTACATGATTGTGCCACCTCTCACCATCAACTTCGTGGAGTATCTTTTGAAAGCGAAGGAGAAGATTACCAAAAAAGACAAAGTAGGTGCCTTATTCACTGATGATGGATTTGCTATGGGTAAGCTCCTATAGATTGTAGAGAAAATGAACACAAAGTATAGTTAAGTTGCACGTTTTACCTTATAGGCATTTCTTACATCCTGAAGCTGTTGGATCAAACAACCAAATTCAACTCCTTGCATTGGTTCCGTTCGGTCAAGAATAAATACAATCGAGAAATTGAGAAGTTGGATGCCCAACAGCAGCAGTTTGTGAAATCCAGTGATGGCGATAAATTGATGCAAACATTTGCTTTGACAAGAAAACGTCTCAAGATGGTTCAGCAGGAGTTTGACCTACTGTTTTGTAATCTTAGCAGTGCAAAGATATTCTTCAACGATGCTGTGGATTAATGAAAGGTATGATAAGCATACTCGTACTAGGTATATTTATGTTGTTATCTAAAGAAGCATTTATTTCACATAAAACTAATTCAAAACTAATGTTATGCATGTGTTATATGTTGATGATAGATGAGAAAATCCTTTGGTTTTGTCATGGATCTGCCGTCCAATTGGGCCACGTCTTGAGTTCTTCAAATAGTCTTCGGCCTGGGCTTTCCGTGGCACTACACTGACAGTGGGCTAGCAGCTTGTAGTCTGGTTGAATGTATCCGTTTTCGATGCCCCTGAAATAATATCCATTGCTATTAGAAAAATCGCTACATGACTTCTAATCATGACTTGGTTACTTGTTTCCTATGATTTGGTCGGGGATGTCCCATTTCTCATAGAAGTCTTCAATAATGACTAAACGACCATTATGCGAAATGTTCATTAGACTCTTTATACGAGGTGGGTTTAGCATAAAGGATTTTTTGCATTAAAAGGAATTAAAATAATCTGGGTTTTTGTTTGCGCGAGTGTGGTGAGTTTTTGAAGTACAACCTTATCGAAACAGCGGCGCCGGTGGTGTAGTGGTAAGCGTGATTGCCTCTCACCCCAGCAGGCCTGGGTTCAATCCCAGTCGGCGCCGCCGGGATGTTCTGAGGCATAACATCTCTGATCACGCCTTCTTTCGGAAGGGAAGTAAAGCCGTTGGTCCCCGGTTCATGAGTTGATGGGTCGATAGGTAGGGTCCAGGTGTGGGAGCTGCCTCCCTGGCGTCGGTAGCATTCCCGTATAAACGCGAACCATCACATGACCTTACCGATAATGGTTATAAATTGTTTATAATCCCTGCTAAACTTCAACTGAAATGGTTATGGAACTTTACATGAACGTTTGTGTGATAAAGTTTTAACCTTATGTATTATGGTTTTTTGGAAGCGGACCTTACAAATAATGGGTTGTTAAGAACCATTACCATTCCAAATTCTTGTTTTCTCCATACATTTTCGGAAAGAGAACTATATTAGAACGTTTTTACTTATGGTTTGAGAACATTAATGGTATTGGTTATGGTAGTCAGTAAGGTCCATTAATGGTTTTGTAACATCGATCAACTTTATGTGGAATATATCGCGAATTGGTTGCCTGTAAATTGCTGATTACCACAACGGAGTAGCAGAGCGGAGAAACAGATCGCTGCAGGAGATGGCCAACTGCATGCTGTTGGATGCGAGGCTCCCAAAGTGCTATTGGGGTGAGGCGGTCCTTACAGCGAACTACGTACAGAATAGGTTTCCGTCAAGATCTGTTGATAAAACCCCTTACGAGCTGTGGACGGGTACAGCATCGAACTTGGCAAATCTGAAGATATTTGGGTGCGAGGCTTACGTCCACGTTCCCGATGCGAAACGGAAGAAATTCGACGCAAAGGCAAGAAAGTTGTTGTTTATCGGTTATTCCAGTCAGCAAAATAGCTTTCGGTTTCTCGACCGGGCAACAAACCGAGTAGTCATCAGCCGTGACGCGAAATTTTTGGAGCTCGGTAACGGCTCTGAGCAGCAGGAGGAGAAATCGGAAGAACGGGAGATTCCAGTGCAGCAGTCAGGCGAAGAAGAAGAAGTAGAAGTGTTGATTGGGAATAATGATAATCAAAGTGTAGTGTGTGTGTGAAGAAGAGCAGTCAGTGTACGATGACGCAAACGAGTCGAATGAAAGTGACTTTTACGGATTTGACGATAACCCTGTTGAGGACAATGGAGACAGTCAAGTGTTAAACAGAGCGTGCCGCCAAAATCGTGGTGTATTGCCGAAGAGATACGAAGACTTTGTGGTAGGGCAAGTGACTCTTGATGAAGAACCTTGTGGCTTTCAGGAGGCAATAGTGATCCCTGAGTGGAAGTGTGCTATGATCTAAAAGATGAAGGCTCATACCGAGAACAATACCTGGGACCTTTTGCGACTACCTGCCGGGAAGAAACTTATTGGTGCAAAATGGGTTTATAAACTGAAACGATACGGGTAGAGTAGTCAAGCATAAAGCTCGCATAGTGGCGCAAGGGTGCACTCAATCACCTGGAGTGGATTATGCGGAGGTGTTCGCCCCAGTGACGCGGCAAACGACGTTGCGCGTACTGGTGGTGGTCGCCGGACAGCAGCGGTTGCAGTACGATGTGAAAACTGCTTACCTTAACGGTACAATTGAGGAGGAGTTGTACATGAGCCAACCTCCAGGCTTCGTAGAAAAGGAAAAGGAAGGCTTTGTGTGCAGACTTCGGAAGAGCATTTACGGATTACGTCAATCTGCGAGGTTCTGGCATAAGGTGCTATATGCTGCACTCCTTGAGCTAAAGTTCAAACCATGCGAGACGGATGCGTGTCTGTATATACGCCGCGGAGAGTGTGTAGTATATTTGCTGGTATATGTAGACGACTTGATTATCGGATGCACCAATGAGGAGGAGATTGACAGAGGATTCGAGAGCCTGCGCCAAAGATTTGGCATGACGGCGCTTGGTACAGTTCGGCACTTCCTAGGGTACGAAATAGAGAAAGAAGATGGATGTTACACGCTCAGACTGACACCGTACATCGAAAGCTTGATCCGGAAGTTCAACATGGAGAACGCACGACCTGTGAAGACCCCCATGGATACGGGATATACTTTGGAGAATCCCGACAGCAAGTAATTAGATGACCCGTCGTTGTTTCGAAGCTTGGTTGGAGGGCTATTGTATCTGGCCGTCAATGCCAGACCTGACTTGTCACTGTGTGTCGGGCTTCTAGGTAGAAAAGTTAGTCAGCCGAACATGTTGGATTGGTCAGCGGCAAAGCGCGTTCTGCAGTATCTAAACACGACAAAGGGATGGAAGCTCCGGTATGGTTCAAAGGAAAACTGGACACTGGTTGGATATACTGATTCCGACTGGGCTGGTGATCGGCAGACCAGACGTTTGACTACTGGTTTCGTTTTCTTCTACGGTAGCGGTCCGGTCAGCTGGGTGAGCAAGGCACAAGGCTCGGTTGCTTTGTCATCTCTTGAGGCGGAATACAACGCGCTCACCTTGGCCTGCCAGGAAGTGGTATGGTTAAGGCGACTTCTGAACGAGCTTGGACATCCGCAAAACGAACCGACGACAATTTTCGAGGATAACCAAGGATGTCTTAGTTTCGCCATGGCGGAGAGGTCTAGTGGTCGAGTAAAGCATATCGACACCAAACGACATTTTGTACGGGAATTGTGTGAGCAGAATATCGTGAAGCTTGTGTACTGCCCCACCAACGAAATAATCGCCGATGCTTTAACAAAGCCTGCTGGACCTACTATGTTGCAGAAGTTTGTTAACTGCATCGGTTTGCAGCCGTAAGACGATTCAGCACTTATATAGGAGGAGTGTAGGAGTGAGATGAGTACAGCGAATCACCCCCCGAAGAGATATAAGTGTGTAGAGTTAAATTCAATATTTTTGACAACACTGTTTTCTATTTCCGTTTCAATCATTAAAGTGAACTCGATATGAATCGAACGTGTTTTCTGTTTTCTCCGAGTATCCGCAAGTTATTCTCGAGTGGTTCCTTTTTCTTCTGCTTCAGTCGCGTTCTGTGTGTCTCTGCTGTCCTGTTGGTCCATCAGAAAGTAGTATACATTCATTCAAACATTGCGTTGCGTTTTAGAACAGTATTCTGTTCTAATAAAACTTGACATGTGTAACATATTAGTAGTAGCAGCAACAATCAATACGAAACTAACGATTTATAATTGGCTCACTTCTTGACTAGCCTATTGGTCCCAAGCAAATCGATTAACATAACATTCTAGTCGAAATTCTAGTACTACACTATGTTTGTTTTGATACGCTATGAAAAGTTGACAGATAAAATTAGGAGTTCGTGGATTTTCCCGAGGGGGGCGACACATCTAAATCTCAATTCTAGATAATCAAAAAATGCTGCAAGAGTAAGTTTACAAACTCATCTCATAACAACGGCAAAGGAAATTTACACTTTTGCTATTTGTAAGCCAGATTAAAAAGTACACTACAAGTTTTTTTTTTTCAGGAACACATTATAAAGCAATGGATAGGAAAATTAAAACCCGTTATACTCGTGTAAAACAATTTTCCGGAACCCAACCGTATCATAGTTTTTTTAAGCCAGAAAATGAAAATTATATTATTGTAAAATGATTTCCGATTTCGGAAAACGAAACACGTGTAACACTGTACAATTATCTCTTGAAATGTTAAATGTTACGGTTACGTAGAATAAAGCAATACACAGTGTATGAATGAGAAGTTTTATTTTATGGGATGAACTTGAGAAAAAATGAATTTTCTTTGTTTAATTTGAATTGATTGCTGATGTCAAATTTGAATTTCCACATATTTTCAGGTAATCTCTGACTATTTCCCAATAAAAATAAGAACGAATCGGAATTCAATTCGGCTTGGTAATACATACTGACAAGGCTTGAAGTTATATTACTTTCATATTAAAACGAGTCATTGTGTCCAAGGTCATTTTCAATTATTAAAAACGCATGATAAATAGTTCAGTCACTTCGAACCAGCATGGTAGTTTTGAGATTAAAACAAAAGGCAAGGTATTAAAAAAAAAAAAACATCTCAAAAACGAAAAAAAAAATGTCTTTCTGGCTAACTCAAGGAAGGTGGACCCTAAGGGTGAAATAAAAAATACGGTTCTAAACATTTTCGATAAGGAACAAATCTACCAGGTTTGAGCGGAATTCGAGCAATTTTTTACGGTAGTTTTTTTTTGTCATGGATCTGATGTATTCTTGATACCTATGGAAAAGGTTAGACTATTTGACATTTTTACTAGAACTCTTAATGTGGTAGGGACAAGTGTTAGTGTAGAGCTGCAAATCATCAAGAAACAAGCATTTTTTTTCCGAAGCACGTTGTATGTTAATAAGAATATGGGGAAAATAAGCCTACCTCTCTATCAATGCTTTACACGCCTCAAGGGCTATCTGTGCAGGAATTTCATTCATGAAACAACCGACAAAGCTGATCCCGATAGCACGTGAATTATAACCATGAGTATGCGCACCAATCCGTTTCCATCCGCGTCCTTCGTAGGCATTTCCATCGTTTCCCACTAAGAAGTTATATGCGATATCATGCCATCGTCTCGATTCTATGTGAAAGCACTGAATCATGCGAACCATGTATACCATCCCAGCCTGCGTATCGGCCGATTCTGTGGCAGTGTGAGCTGAAAAGTGAAACGAGGCAATCAATTTCTGAGATGCTCATTAGCGAACAAATATGTTTACAGATGACTACATAAGGTACAGGAGTATTCAAGTCTTGGTGATCTAACGCAGGTTGTGCCAACCACGATCTTCTATCGATTATCCTCAGTACTTTGGCATTGATTTTCTTCGCTGTTTAAAAAAAATGAGTTTTGAGCATTTTATCAGGCGTGGAAAAATATTGAAGCTACGTACAAACATTCGACACGAATATCTCATCCCGATTGCGTTCTACTTGCTCAACTGGCTCGGTTTCATGTCCTTTCACATTTGTAGAATTAGGAAATACCTGAGATGGTGTACTGTCCTTAGTTGGCAGTGCAGCTGTTGGTGGATTTGTAATGAATTGCTGGATGGATCCAAGATTGTTTCCACTTGTGTGTATGATGTGTATTGGACCTGTAACATATGTTACGTTGCCGATGTGGATTTTATTGGAGTTTTCCACCTGCAATGGAATACATATTGCTAAACTTACAAACTCATAAGGGGCTATTAAAGGCGAATATATATAAAAAAAACACACACACACAAAGGAAGAAAGGTGTAGTTGGAATTAATTTGATCTAATTCCTCACTTCTTATACCCTGGACAGACTATGGCTTATATCATGTAATATAGGCTGTCTTGCAATGAGCACTCATACATCTAGTTTTCACTGGAAATTCTATGCATGAGTGCTCATTGCAAGACAGCCTATATTACACGATATAAGCCATAGTCTGTCCAGGGTATTAAACTAAAAACGGTTAAGAAAAAACTTTTTTGTGAAAAAACTACAGGCAGCGAGTTCGACAGATGGCGGTAGCGTTCAAACGTCAAACGCTATGGCGTCACCAATGACCAATTTATCAATTTATCATTTCTAATTATTTCATTTTATAATTTATCAAAAAAGAAATAAAAATGTGAGGAAATAATATCGAATTTTATTCGAATTCTTCTAATTCTTTTCAGGAGGCGATCTTTCTTCTTCTTCTTCTTTCCTTTATTTAACATCGGTCTCTGTTCCGCAATCTAGTGCCAATCACAGACGGACATCGATGGCCATCCATTGACGGCAATCGAATGTGCAGGAAGGCAGCTTCCACACCTGCGTAGGATATCGCACCCATTCAACACACATGGGTCGGGACTAACGGCTTTACTTCCCTTCCGAAGGAAGACGTGACCAGAGATTTTTATGCCTCAGAAAAATTCCATCGACCTCGGCTGGGATTGAACCCAGACCCATCGGGGTGTTAGAAAGCAGTCACGCTTACCACTACACCACCGGTGCCGGTAGGAGGCAATCTACTGTTTGATTATATGAATACTTTCTCTCACTTCCTCTACCTTGTTTTAGGGCTGTTCCTCGATCTAGTCATGATCCTAAACTGTAGTCAGCTGTTTTTTGGCTCCGCTTTAGCTCGTATTCTCCTCACTGTTCTCTTCACCCTCCGGGGTAGTCAAATCTTGAACAGTTTTCCAAATTCTTGAATTATGAACATGTTTGGAAGTGTAGAGTCTGTGATAATATTCTATCCTCTAGATCTTCTCAATTTTCTGTTGTCAATAAATCATGATTTTATATGTCCAGGATTGTTAAAAAAAAAGCATGAGATGTACACATTTTTCCCAATTATGAAAATCCAGCATGATTATAAATTATTATGTTTATTCTTGGTTTGTGCATGGTTTTGTTATACCGTGGACGCACGTTAATCTGAACGATACTGCGAGCATATTAACAGGGTTTATTTTTAATTTGAACTTCTACTAACCCTACGACCATCAGAAAAGCGAGTTTCTGGTAGCCTTATTTGATGTTTTGCTTTGATTCTGCGTTCCGTTTCACAACGTTCCATTTCGCTTTTCTCTGTTGCATGTGCTAGATAACGTTTCAGCAATTTTTAGTTTGCACGACAAGCAGACTAGCGGGGTTCAAACTAAAAAGTGTGCACATTGAGAACCGTCAGATTATGATGGGTCCACGGTATCAATTATATTTTATCACATGTTAATTTATTATATTTCATCAAATCTAGCTGTTTATAACATACCTGAAAAACTATCATGGACAATCGGAACACCAAAGCGGCGCCGGTGGTGTAGTGGTAAGCGTGATTACCTCTCACCCCAGCAGGCCTGGGTTCAATCCCAGCCAGCGCCGCCGGGATGTTCTGAGGCATAATATCTCTGATCGAGCCTTCCTTCGGCAGTAAAGCCGTTGGTTCATGAGTTGATGGGTCGATAGGTAGGGCCCAGGTGTGGGCTCCCACCCTGGCGTCGGTAGCATTGGTGCTCAGCACAAAAAACAAGATCGACGGAAAAAATAACAAAGAAAAAAAAAACGGGACACCGGGAAAAACCGGGAATTAAAAAATGTGAAATCCAGTAACCACCCTGTTTAATTTAAAAACAGGTCTGGCAATGTAAATTTGTCGTGACGTCACAATCACGTTTCATTTAAAGCGTAAATAGAGCGGGTCTAGTATAAGAGAGGAGAGGACTGGTTGGTTTTTAGCCAAACGAACTGTCACTCGAGTCAATCGAGCAGCGCCTATCTTGATTGCATGGCATTGTTGCTAGAAACCGAGCTAGAAACCACCTAAGCATTGGTCGCCAAGGCAGTTTGTTTTGAATCCACTCCTCTCTCATACTAGACCACCAACTTGACTTGCATATTCCGTCTCGCACGCTGAGCCGGTCAAGACATACTGGTCTCGTTGTACGACACTATTGTTTGTTCTTTTTGAGTTTTTTTTTTCCCACGCGAGGGTTCTCATCAAAGTTAGTTGGCATAGTACAGACAACAAGTGCGCGAGTGCGGAAGCTGTTAACCATACGCCTAGCGCTTTGATTACGGTCCAGCTTTAATCATCATCATCGCAACACCAACATCAGCAATATCATCACCACTATCGGCTCATTACACCATCGATAGCAACAACGAAATTGCCTGCCGAGTCGACCGAGGCATGCCAGCTACGAGGTTATTGACCCAACGTTGGGTCAAACAATTGCATCTGTCCAGTCTGCTGTCGCCTCAGTGTAGAAGATATATCGTGTCGTTGTTGTTTTGTTCTCGCCAGTTTCGCATCTCCCTTGTTTCTCTGGTCCAATATTAGGCTGGTGCATAATTAGGGTGATCTAAAATTTTGTAAATAGTATTTTTTGACGTAGAAGTACGTTTTTAATTTCTATACTGGGGGTAACATTAAAAAAAAATCAAAATTCAGACATATAACGAAAAATCCCAAACACGGACGCAACGATAGAGCGCAAATCGAACAAACGAAACAATGCGCATGCTCACATGAGCGAGCTCAATGCTCGGTTGATCGCTCGCCATATCACCAATGAAAGAAAGGGAGGAAAAAAGCAGCGATAATAAAAACGCTTGCCAAATCGTTTTCTTCGTCATTTACTTTCGAGCAACGGACGGATAAGCGTCGGACACGACGTATGAGTGGAACAGTACGCATCGCACCAATACAAAGACGACGGCATTGTTGCCACATTGTTTCCAATTTCAATCTGTATTTTCACCGTAAAAAATCTTTCTATCTGACAATAATCTGTATAAATTCTATAGTATGATCTTATTGCGGATTGTCGTAGATATTCTTTCAGTTCATTTGAAGTTCAGAAATAGTTTGTTCTTAGTTTAGAATATTGAAGAATGACTTAAGTTTGCTTTCTAAAAAATTAATCTATTCCTGAATCTTGATTTATTTTTAGAGTTATTTGTATCTTTTCTAAGTCTAAAAATACAAAAAAAATCAGTAATTAGACAAATCTGAAAACAAAATAATGAAGAGAATCACATTTTCGTAAAATTTGAATTTTTTATGTCCGAGATTACGAAAATCTTAGCCAGGTCATGTCCTTTTTTTACTCAACAATTTTAGAAAATGAAAAATAAGCATTATGAAGTATTAGTTGTAAAATGTTATGCTCGATGTTTCATTTTCTCAAAATCTTCTAATCAAACCAAATTTCAACTTTATCTAATCATTTAGCAGCTGTTGCTCGAACCTATATACCTAAGTGTTCTTGCACAACGATCTTGCTTTCCACGATTTCAACATGATTCGCCTTGACCGCGCAGATTCGTATGGAGGGGTGCTTCTCGGGATCAACAAGCTCCATTCCTTTTATAGAATCGACCTGCCTTCGGTTATAGGCATTGAAGTTGATGCATGTCAGGTTAACATTTGAGGTAACCGAGAACTGCTATTTCTTGTTAAAGTTTCTCCTATATCTGCATGGTTATACCGGAGCCACGGTTGATCTTGGGAGATTTCAACACTCACGGTACAGGCTGGGGGAACTGTAAGACTACAACCGCTCAACCTTGATATACGACATGTGCGACATTTTCAAAATGGTAATTCTGAACACCGGGGAAGCAACACGAGTAGCCAAACCTCCAGCAAAAATAAGCAGATTAGACCTCTCACGCTTGTTGAACTTATTCAATCAACTTCTGGAGCACAACATTGTTCTGGGTGGCTGGAGGCAAGTAAGAGTTATCGCCATTCGAAAACCCGGTAAATCCGCGTCGGGTTTACTGTCCCATCGCGATGCTGTCCTGTATACGGAAATTGTTGGAGAAAATGATTCTTTTTCATCTAGACAAAGGGGTCGAGTCAAATGATTTACTTTCAGATACGCAATTTGGATTTCGGAGAGGGAAAGGAACGAGCGACTGTCTTGCGTTGAATTCTACTAAAATTCAATTGGCCTATCTAATCTAATACCAACTGAAATTCAACTGGCCTATGCGCGAAAACAGCAAATGGGTTCAGTTTCCTTGGACATTAAGGGGGCTTTTGATTCTGTTTGTATCGATGTCCTTTCGGATAAACTCCACGATAGTGGGCTTTCACCAATTATGAACAACTATTTGTGCAACTTGTTGTCTGAGAAATATATGAGTTTTTCTCATGACAACTCGACAACTACACAAATAAGTTATACGGGTCTCCCCCAGGGCTCATGTTTAAGCCCTTTGTAATTTTTATATTAAAGACATTGATGGTTGTATTGATGAAAATTGGTCGCTAAGGCAGCTTGCAGATGATGGCGTTGTTTCCGTCACCGCGCCAAATACACCGGACCTACAAGGACCATTGCAAGATACCTTAGACAATTTGTCTACTTGGGCTATGAAGCTTGGTTTCGAATTCCCTCTGGAGAAAAATTAGTTGGTTGTTTTTTCTAGGAAGCATCATCCTGCACAGTTGCAGCTTCAGCTGATGGATAAAACAATCACTCAAAGTATTTCAGTTAAGTATTTAGGTGTCTGGTTCGATTCCATATGCACATGGGGAAAACATATTGCGTATCTGAACCAAAAATGCCAGCAAAGGATTAACTTTCTTCGTACAATTACCGGAACTTTATGGGGAGGACACCCGAAAGATTTGATCAGGTTGTACCGAACAACCATCTTGTCGGTT